AGCGGGGCAGAGGCATGGACGGGCTGGCCGGGAGGGATGGGACAGGGCAGGACGGGCCCCCCCAGGCTGGCCCTCAGTGCCACTGCCTTCTTGCATGGGCCGTCCGTGTCCTCCCCATTCGGGCTGGGACTCACCATATCACCCCATCCAGGCTGGCACTTCCCATGCTTCCCCATCCAGCCAAGATACCCCAAACCTCCAGCATTCTCTCACCTGCCTCCCAGTCTCATGGATGGGAATCCCCATGTTGCCCGCATCCAAGCTGGGTCACACTTGTGACACCTATCCAGGGTATAGGGTAAGAGGGTTAAGTTGATGCCAGGACTGGTGAGGGTGACATGGCCTGGTGCCCTCAGCTGGCTAGAGGGGGATTTGGGGGTACCCCCCCAAGCCTTTATCCCACCTTTTGTGCTTTTCTTTCTCTGCACAAAGCTGAGCTGTAGTTGTCACTCTGCTTTGGGGCATGTGGATATAGATGGCAATGGGGGTGCTTTACTCTGTGCCTCAGCTTCCCCAGCTATATGTGGGAGAGCAACCTGACTATTTTAGGATCCCATATTCCTACAGTCCCACCCCCAGGACCAGCTCTCCGTGCACTTCACCTGAACCCCATTTAGTGCCATGATGTTTGACATTGGGCATCTCCTCTTGTGTTTTCTCAGTTGCTCCTGAAGCAGCTCCTGTAGCTTGCAAAGGCCTCCTGTGCCTGGTGCGAGGACAGAGAAGAAGCCTTGACGTGGGCCAGAGGGGGCAGCCAGCCAGCTTCTCCACTCTCTCATACCTCACTCTTCTGGCTGAATGATACCCAGGGCTGACAACTGCTCTGGGGATAGAGAACCTTTGCTGTGCTGGTGGCAGCACCAGCCTCCTGCCAGCAGTCACTGCACAAGGCCAGTCTCCCCCCACCCCACCAGGCTGACATGGGAGAAAGCAAGAAGGGGGTCAGGAGTCACTCCATGGGGACATGGGAGCCACATCCAGCTGAACTCCCTCTCCATGCTGGACTTCCTGTTGTTTGGATCAGCAGTTAAAAAACAAGAGATCAAAACAAAGCCAGGTCAGGCTGGGAATCCCTTCATGTTGCAATTTATTCCAGCACAATCTAATTAAAGCAATAGGAAATACACTGTCCCTGTGACTGGACATCTTTAAAAAGACACAGCACAAGTGACAGTGCTGTGGGGCAGGAGAAGGAGGGGACAAGGGCAGTAGAAGTATTCAGAGAGCTCTGCCCCAGGGATCTGTGAATCTGTCTTCTTGCTGAGCAGCAGCTCTCATGGGAAGCTGGGGCACGTGAAGGTTCAACCGAGATCTTCTGTGTCAGGAGCTGCTGCCCTGCGTCTCCTTTGCCACCCTGGAGAGTAACCCCAGGGTCTGGCGCATCTGCACAGGATTTCAGGAGCCCACCCATGGCCCGGGGGGTGGGGTCTGTGCTGCCTGAAGTGATGTGGCTGGAAGGGACAGCAACTAACTCAACATTTTGCTTTCCAGCCTGGCTGCGCTGAAAGCACAAAGTGCTGTGGGAAAGAGCACTGGTGAGACAGGGTGGGCATAGGAAGAAAGGAAAGGGCTGGAGGAGTATTTAAAATACTTTATTAAAAAAAAAAAAAAATCCCAGTTAAAAACACAGTGGCTGTGCCTTTGTGTGGGTAGGAGGTCAGGCCTGAGCCCTGGGCCCCAGCAGGCCCTCACCACTGCTCCCCTGCCAGGAAAGCAAAGTGGCACTGGCCTGCAGCTGGGGAGGGTTCACAGCTCTAAGCAGCCCCTCTCTTAAAAAACATTTTCAACCAGTTGTGAGAATCAAGTCTGTGGTGTTAAAAAAGTAAAGAGAAAGGAGCAAGGGAGACTCTGCTGGCACTGGAAGGTTGTGGCTGGAGGGCCCACACTACTGGCTGGGGAGAGCCACAGTGTTCATGGTGCACAGCAGCTTTTTTCTTTAAAGAGAACAAAATCAACAAACCAACAGTAATTTCTTCCAAATTTCCCCCATACCCACAAACTTCACCAGCTGCTGATACAAACAGGCCGTCTTCCCCCTGGAAAATGCTCTTGCAGAAACCTGAGCCTTCCTACTCCGCTAAACAACATGCTTCAGATTCCCTGCAAATAAAAGGAGGCAGAAACAGGTATTTCCACTGATATTTCAGCCTGACAAGAGGGGCCTGGCTAGGGCTGCTACCCCTACACCTGATGGACCAGGCAGCAATATGCTCTCAGTGTAGACTGGAAAGAGTCCAAAGGAATACTACAAAATGACTGAAGGGCTGAAGAACCTGCCCTATGACAAAAGGCAAATAGAGTTGGGTCTCTTCTCCCTGCAGAAGAGAAGGCTCAAGGGGACCTCATCACAGTACTCCAGTACTCTAAGGGCAGCTACAGAGAGGACAGAGGCTCACTTCACAAGGAGCCACATGTTGAGGACAAGAAAGAATTTTTTTACAGTAAGAACAATCAATCAGTGGAACAGCCTCTTCAGGGACATGGTAGAGTCCCCACTGCTACAGATTTTCAAGATGCAACTGGACATGGTGCTAGACAACCTCATCTAGGCTTTGTTTCCCACAAAAGGTTGGACCAATGATCCTTGAAGTCCGTTATAACCTGTGCTGCTCTATTATTCTAATAAGGACGAGGCCTTGTGCTCCTCTGCCCAGCCAGAGGAGAGGCAATGACGACTTTTGCTAGCAGGGACACACAGCTCTGAGCTGATGCTCTAACACTGAGAATCTCAAGTGAAGCAGGAGACTGATGATGTACATGATGAGCAGTCAAGTGAATGCAGTTCATCTTTCTAGACAGTGAGCTAGAGCTCTCCTGAAGTCCTCTCTAAAAAGACATGTGAACCTGAAGCAGGAGTGTCGGTTTGGACAACTCACCTTTGATAGAGTTAAGAATTTCTTGAATTCTCTGTGGCTCATTGCGGTCTGGTCTGCAGCTCGGTGTGATCTCCAGCACATAATCAGGTCCATACTCTGTGAAGAACTGCAGGGAAAAAGAGAGGAGAGTCAGCAGAGAGGTCTCTGGCTGGCTGAAGCTGGGGAAACCACCATGTCAAAGAAGGTGCTTATTGATGCTGTAATCTTATTACAGAGCCATTCTGCCAGACACCCTCAACCAAATATGGGACCAAATAACCAGAAATTGTTGTATTTGTCTCAGCCTCAGAGCAGAACAACAGCAACCCAAACCCAACTTTTTCCTCTTGACTAGGACAGGTTTGGGGAAGTGCCGAGCACCCACAGCTGCCCTCAGGACCAGCTTAAACACTTAAGTACTCTAATAATGCTGAATCCTCTCACACACCACACTTTACTTGTTACCAGTGTGAAAACTACAGAGACAGCAGGATACTTCTTGGCTACATGTCACAGGAAAGCAGAGGAGCAACCAGAGAAACTGTTCACTCTGCTCTTCATACTTGTCCCCCTGCATCTGCAATCAGCCACGGCAGCACAGAGGAGAGGAGAGGAGACAGACTTGACAGCTTCATGTACAATACTGCTCATTTGAAGTGTAGGAGGCACCATCCTCCAGATTGCACATTCCCTTGTTGTTCAGAGACCATCACAACATGTCAGATGAGCGAAGTCCAGGCTTTCATCTCCAGAAACAAAATCAGAAGCACCTTTTCACTGCAAAGGGAACCCAAACAGGCTAGCCAACAGCAACACCTCAACTTGCAGCCAGCTCAGCTCTGCAGCCCAAGCACCATCCAGCCCAGGAGGGGATACAAATTCCTCTGAGAAGGAGCAGCTGGACCACAAAGGGGCCCACTGTCCACTCTGTGACATCCTGCAATCAACTCATTCCCACACTGCTTTTACCCTTGATGGCACTTGGGGCAAGAATCATTAACACAACAAACAAACTATTCAGAGCAACAACAAACAGGCAAAACCTGAACCACCTACAGCAGTTCATTCCTATAGAGGGACCCATCATTTCACTTCCTGCATATACAAAAGATCCAATTCTGTTTAAAAGCTGTTTCTGCAGAAACCTGGTTAAAGGATCATAGTCAAACATAAAAAGCATCTTGTATCTGTAATCATGAGTTTCCATAACAATGGATTTCCATTTTCCATCCATACAAACGTTTTACTTCCTCATGCATATGGAGATCTCTAGACAAAGGCAAACATCTGTAGGCTTCAACTTCTTTGCACTTGCAGGTTTGTTCTGCAGGGTCCATAACACTGATCTGTGGTTTGAGACCTATCACACACCTATAGTTACTGCCCCCAAATTCAGTCTAGATTGTGTACCTCCAATCAGCCACCAGAGCTGGGACCAAGAGAGCTCACCTGTGATCCCCAACAGTACCTGGCCCCCCAGGCTGCTGCGAGGCTGCTGCTCAGAGAGCTTCAGAGTTGGTACTTTCTGTAAGTCAGTGAAAGGAGGACTAAAATTCAAAGCCTTGAGAAAGGCCTGGCTCTCTTCTGACGAAAGTACATGCACATCCCAAAGAGCTCTTTAAGCAAACAGGTGACTGCCCCTCCCCATTGCCTGTAATTATCTGGGACCAGAGTTTATTTGTGGCTGAGATCCCTTGCAAAAAAAACCCAAAAAGACATGGACAGCCTCAGGTTTTGGGAACAAGCACCCACTGTGCTGCTAGGACAGTGAGTTATTGTCACAGGAGTGTCTCGACAAAACTGCACTGAGTGGCAAAGATGCTGCTTGGATCAGGTGATATGACTCAACTCTCGTGCAAGGAGAAGGCAGGGTTTGCCAAAGCTTTACCTCATGATCAGGGATCTCGGAGGAAAGTGTTCTCCCAAGGATGACCCCAGTCAAGTATGTCCAGCAGCGAGCTGTGTTGGCAAGGTTGTAGCCTCCTGTCTCCAGCAAGAATGGTGGTTTTGGAGGGGGAAGAGTGGAGAAAGGGAAGAGAGGGGGAGAGATTTTAGTGGAAAGAACAAATCATGGAGGCAACATGCACATTATTTCTTCCACTCAAGCTCTGCCCAAAGAACTGGATTTTGTACCTGCTGGCTACATGAGGCCAGGTCTGAATGACACTGTAAGCAATGGCAGATCTCCCAGACTGAACCCCAGTTATACTCAACGTGCCACAGACCAGGCTCCTCCAGCCACTGCCTCAGGCCCAGCATGAACCCCAGCTTGGTGTGCTGGGCTTTCTCCTAGAAACAAAGAGGGTGTTCAGGGGTAACAGGGAGAGAAGTGCAAGGCCAGCAGTGGAAATGAGGGATTCCTGCTTTTTAATGCCAGCCCTCAACCCACAGAGCATGATACACCTGGCCAGACATTTGCTGGTGAGCTCTTCAGCACTGCCACGTTTGAGAGGACAAATATGAAGCTCATTAGTACAATCTGTGACTGCTTTACAAGTAAATGAAATTTCATAGTTGTTGTGACAATGGTCCCTTCCAGGGTAATGGTACATGAGCCCACAAAGAGAAACTTTAGCTGAAAACAATCCTGCAAGAGACTCAGAAGTGTTGGTTGTTTGGTTTTTTTTCCCAGCAAAGACAACTAAAATAGCAGGAGAGAAGTACACTTTGAATAGAGAGGGAGATAATATTTTTCAATGTTCCCTTCTCTTTGGGTTGCTATTGGGTTTTTCAGGTTTGTTTTTTTTTTTCCCAAGTATTGTCTCCTCCCTCAGTTTCCACTTCAAATGCTTCCACAAGCTGCAGTGCTGGGACACCCCTTTGGTATTTTCAAGAGTGACAAATAGCTACCCTCATTTTTTGACAAAAGTTCTGGGGTTTATTTTTGCCTGAAAGGTGCCATCCCCAGAACACCCACAGACATGCCTCAGCAGGACCGAACACTCTTGACCTTTCCAAAACAGTGCACTGTGCACATCGCATTTTAGGCTTACCCTGCTACACCTGATCTCCCTTATCTCAAAAAGGGCAACAGCAAGAGCTGATAAGGCTCCAGGCACAGAGCTGAGGGGCTGTCCCTGGCACACAGTGGCTTTTGCTGTTCTGAAACATTCTGTGCCATAAAGCCTGTCCTGCACTCTCCTCTCTGGACAAGCTGCTGGTTATGCAGCATGGAAGAGCTAAGTCAATCTGGTGCAGGGAGCCAGTCCTTTTCCCAAGCCTCTGCTTGAATCCAAATGAAATCATTAATTGCCAGGTGCCCCAAGCAGGTTTGGGAACCCAGCGCTGATTAGCAGAGATGGGAACCAGAGGTGCCATTGAGAAGCCAGGTCAGTCCATCAGCACTAAGAGCCTCTGTTCTTCCCTGGAGGAGCCAAGCAGCAGGTTCAGGATCAAGGCTTGCAGCTGTTGGCAGCACGGATTCCAGGTCTGTGTGCAGACAGCACAGGTGCCCTCCTGACACGCCTGGCAGCCACGCTCCAGCCGTGGCCCTGGCACCCCGGAGGGGCTGCAGGACACGTATCCTTGTGAACAGCAAGATGTGTGTGCACTCACCTCCTCCCAGGATGAGAGTGGGCAGCTGCCACTGCAGGACATACTTCAGGCACTTGCCCACTCCCTCTGGTGTCATGTTGAAGGAGCACATGGGGTCTCCAGCCATGGTGTCTGCCCCCAGCTGCAGCACGACTGCCTCGGGGCTGAAGGCGGGGTACACCTCCCTCAGCACGCTGCGGAGAGCACAGGGGTTACTGCAAACCCAGCCTGGGGGGAAGCTGGTGGCATGGCCCTGCATCTGCAGATCCACAGATGCCTCTTCAGGGTTTCTGCATCCTCTGCTCCCACCCTCCTCAAACCAGCTACACTCCCTCTGCTCCCACTTAGCTTTCTGCCTCTGCTACTCTCCCGCAGCAAGTTCAGCTCTCTAAGAGTTCATCACCAGGCTGATGAAGGCAAAAGCATTGCTGAGAACACAGAGAGGGGGGGATCTAGTCCTAATCAGCTTTGTGCTAGCATCAAGCCACACGTTTACCTTGGCTGCCCTGAATGGAAGGGTTGCAAGCCAAGTCTGGGGGCTATTTTTCCCCCTGTAAGAGTCATGGTGAAAAGCAGGGTCTGGCAAAACAACAGTCCTAAACTCCCATATACCTCTCACCAGGACAGGATGAACAGAGGTGGGCTCTGTCTAGGTTCTCACTCTCCTCTCTCCCACATGGCTCTTGAGGCAGAAATACATTTTACCCAGCTCCTGCAAATGCTGAGGTGCAATAGGGCCAGTGTTTGGAGACAGTTTATTACAAGCATTTTCTCTTGCAGAAGGCAATTAGGCATGTCAGACACTTGGCTTTGCTCCAGGAGATTTTCAGCATTACAAACACCACAAAGGGAATAATCCTGTTCCCAGCACTGTGCTCCAAATAAAAGGCAAATAATGGAAGAAAAGCCATGTTCCTTTCACAACAGTGTTTGTATTTTGCTGAAGTAGAAACAGATGTGAAAAAATGCTTTTGTCTTGGTTAAGAAAACCTAAGCATCACCAGTCCTTACTTGATACGCAATTAGAAACGACTGCAGGGCCAAAGGAGAGAGCTGCTTCCCTGTGACAGAGATGGCATTTACCAGCACTCACCCCAAGAAACTTAGCCAGTCACTGCACCCAGCCAAGGGACCCCACTGAGCTGGGTGAGGTCTGCCAGGGGAGATGCCTGCAGGGCTGAGGCCATCAGCTCTACCAGCATCACAAATTCACTACTCAAATACAGGCACTGTTGGGGGAAAAAAAATATTTAAAAATCTACTGGTGATGAAAAAAAAAAAACCCTGGGAAAAAAACTCACCTCCTCCCTGAGACCAAATATGTGATAATGGGGGAAAACAGGACTTCCATTCTGAATTTGTATCTACCCTGGACATGGCAAAAGATGATCCACCTCACCTACAGCTCACACTACTCACAACACTCCTGTTTTGACAGCTACCACGCCATGCTGTCTACCCAGTCCCACCAAACTAAGGGAACTGAAGCAGATGGTGAAAAATCACAGTGGGGTGACCTGTGACAAACAGACCCTCAAGCTGCCCACAGATGCCTCTCTATATTCATTTTACCCAAGGATTTGCACAAGACCTCTAAGACCTTTAAAGACCTGCGTTTGTTGTAATCACAACAAGGGACAAGCCTTGAGGAAGGACTGCAATTAAAAATAGTAAATAAAATCTGTGCAGCCTCTGTTCTCTAAAATCTCACCCAAGTAAACTGTAGCAGAGCAAGAGGGCTTACATTTCACAGATTTGGTAATATTTCTCATCCTGAATGCCATCTTGAATAGGTACATTCACGCTGTAATAGCGACCCTTCCCCAGGCCAACATCAGTCACGTCACCAGTGCCTGAAAAACAGAAACAGCCCGTAGTTAATTGCAAGGGAAAGGAGATGAGCAGCAAGAGAAATGGCTGGAATGTCTCAGATCAGAGAGCCAGGACCTTTGGCATGCTTATAGAGAAGTCCACTTGCCACCACCAATAAAGGAGAGGTTGGATGGACCAGGTTCTTGCCCTCTGCCCAATTCTGTGATGCAGCTTCCAAGGGCTGCAGGGGGATGCCCAGCAGTAGCTAACACCAGAAAAGGGGAAATGCCAAACATGTAGTTCCCCCCTCTCTCCTTCTCCTGAGTCACCAGGAGAGGCAGCAAGAAGACACCTCTGCTGGACAGAGGGGATGGGACTTGCTTTTGCTGCAGCCTTGTCAGTGATGTGTGAATCAAATGAGCATAAATCTCACAAGTTCAACTTGCCTGGGAAAAATCCTGGTGAAAACTTGTGCAGAGAAACAGTCATGACTTTTGAGGTGAAACTAAAGGCATCTTCAACTCCTATCAGAAAAAAAAAAAGATAAAAGCTTTCAAGCATCATTCTCCTAAGTAACTGAGTCTAAGCACACAAACAAACCACTCAATGAACACAGGGCAGCAGGCAGAGCAGGAACGAAATGAACAAAGCAGGAAACCAGACATGGCTCAATAAATTAATCCTTAATCAATGAGACCCAAATTCAAGTGCAGCAAAGGACACAATTGAAATTAATTTGGTGGGTCTCATGCTAATTAGATTCCATAGCTCAGCTCAGTGCCCATGCCAGCAGCACCCATCTGCACTGCTTGGCCTGAAAGGCTGGGCAGGGAGCTGAGCAGGGACGCCTTGGCCTGAGCTTGGCTCTGATCAGAATGACAGATACCAGGCTCTCCTGTTATCTCTCAGTGCTGCTGCGGTTCAATACTCCTTTTCTTTTCCTTAAAGACATATTAAAATAGTGGGGGTAGGGAGGGAAGAAAAATAACAAGAAACTTAAGAGAAGCCAAAAGTGGGGGGAAAATGGAGCAAAATGAAACACACAATAAAATTTAGAAGAGCAGGAAATGTTAAGTGGTGTTGAAATAATGTTCCTGAAGGAGAGAGCAGTTTCAGCAAGGCCAGCTCTGTTTGGTTTCTATAGTGTCAAGCCTTCTTTTAAAAGCACCATTTACTACTGACTGCTTCCCTGGTGCACTGGTGGCATTAAATAAACACTATCAGCAGCTGTTCAGTCAGGACGGGAGTCAAAGGACTGGAGGAAGTTCTTGCTGGAGAGCCACTGGCAGAGGAGACTGCTGGAATGGGAGCACACTGCTTGTTGCTTTACGTGCAAGACTGCTGCCCAGACCCTCCAAAGGTGACTGATGAGCAGCACAGGACAAATCTGTAACGCAGGACAAGGCAAAAATGGATCGAGGGAGCCTGACTGCACTGCAAGGAGGTAAAGCCACGGAGTTAAAGCCCTGCTGCCCTGAGAGACCTTCACTTCTCCCATTCCTCCCCCTGTGCTGTTTGCAGCCTGCTCTGGGCCTTACCATCCCCATGATGCAAATCCAAATCGATATAAAGGACACGGTCAAACTTCTGGCGCAACCGCAGGATCCCCAGGACAGCATCGTTGAGGTAACAGAAGCCAGAAGCTTCATCTCTGTGAAAACAACACCCTCGAGGTTGAACATCACCACCTGCAGCCATCCCTGGTCTTGGTGGTGTCACTTCTGCCCTGCAAGGCCCCGCGTCACTGGGGGGCCCAGCAGTGACCAAGGGGCAGCTCAGAGCATGGCTGGGGAGCACACAGAAGATGATTGCTTGTTCCAATCACTTCTCAACCCTGGGCTTGCTGGCAGCTCTGCTGCAGAGAGGCCCTGACCCAGGGGGGCTCAGCAGGGCACCTCCCATCATTTCACTGTTGCACAAACAAAACCTGGGGTATTTTCTGCACTGGACCCACCACTCAACTGAAACCCACTCTCCACTGTACCTCCTGTTCCTCTGTGGCAAGAGGAGAGGCCCCTGGACAGTCCTGCTTGGCCATTTCCCTGTGGGTGCTGGGCAGGCACAGGCAGGCAGCCCCTCCCTCCAACTCCCAGGAAAGTCCTGGCAGTGAAGGCAGGTCCAAAGCAGTTACAACACTCTGTTGCTCTATTTCAAAGTCTTCGGGGTATGGAGGTTAAGCCTCTCCCCAAAGCAGCACTCTCCCTCCCTGGGAAACTGCAAACCAGATGCCCCACATGCAGTCCCTCACAACACAGCTCCCAGGCTCAGCTAGAAGATAGCTCCAGTTGCTAAACAGAGGACAGATGTTGCATGGAAAGATTTAGCCCTGAGATACATCAGGGGGCAGCTTCCATATTGCTGGCATCAAAGGAACAGACGTCCTTCAAAGTCATGTCCTTGTCACCACTAGCCCACATGCACCCTTAGGTCAGCCCTGGACAGCCAATTTAAACCATGGCTTTATACTTTGCAACAGGAGTGTCCAAACCCCTCTTCCACAGGCGAAAACAATTCCAGGATATAAGATGTGCCATCTCAACTTGCAGACACACACTGGACTCTTTTCCCCTGACACTCCCCTGCTCATCAAACAGCTGGAATGGGCCAGGACGGGGTGGCAGAACTGCACCTGTTCTTACTCCCTGCAAATGTCATGGAGCACAGATGCTTCCCAGTGACTCTATTCATTGACAGTGATGCTGAGAACTGGAATGTTAGCAGGTGTCCTGGAAACCTTCATTAACTGTGATTACACACCGTACTCCTCCCCTCCTTCCCAGCCTGCAAGGAAGCAAAGCGAACTATGTCACTTCTCGGGCACTTTCTCCGTGCTGTAACACATCTTCTCCTTCATACTCAAGGCCAAGCAGAGCAGGACACCAGCTCTGACACAGGCTGAACAGCATCAGAGCTGCAGCTCAGGGCCAGCACTTGGGATTCCTGCCCCCACAGACCCACACACACAGCTCAGGCTGCTGCTGCCAGAATGGAGAGCAGGGGTGTGGCAAAAACCCATTCAGCACCTTGCCCTCTGCCCCAAAGGCACCAGTGAACTGGGAGCTTCAAAGGCCCCAGGTGACAGTGGGTATCACTGCCTTTATGATCTTGGAAAGTAACTAATCCATCAGACAGCAGGTCTTCTTTTACTAATGATGTACATTTTGTTAGGAAACAGGTCCTGGGACCAGGCACCCACAGCTGGGTGTCAGTCTGGCTGGACTGGCACATATCACGGCTGCTGCCTACCCTGCAGCATCCTGTGCCATCTCACTGGGGTGAGTGGGAAGGCTCCTTTGGGATCAGCAAGCATTAAAAGCCTTTTTAAAACAGATTGTTTGCTTTCCAGAACAGTGCTTACAGCACAGCCCAGTGGCAGCAGCACTGCTAAGATTTCTTCTCTCGCAGGCATCAGGTTTTATGAACCATGCAACCAAGATAAGAGAGAAGAGAAGGTTTTTGAAAAGCCATCCCTCCTGTGAAGAGCAAGAAGGCTCAGCTCTGCCAAGCTGAACTCTCTCCTTTCTCAGTAAGGTGTAGCTGAGCCTGTATTCAGCCGAGTGCTGACCATGAAAAGGGTCCTGATGAGACACTGCCATTGCTGGAGTTTGCACACCACCATTACACCTCCAGAGTTTCTCTGCAAGGTCAGAAAAATGACTCAAGCAAGAAGAGAAACCTGTGCCCACATGTACAAGCTGTTAGGGTTAGACATGGGGTTCGTGCTAATTTCTGGGGCTCCACAGCCTTTCCCTATGGACTGTGCAAAATCAGCTCCCAGAGAGAACCAAGCACCAATGCCAGGCAGGACACCTCTGGTTCTGTCTGCCCTGGATGTGTACTGCAGTCGATGGTAGCACTGGGACTGGGCAGTAACCAGCCCTCTACCCTACACTCTGTTTCTCTCCTGTCTACCTCCTGCCTTCCCTCACCCCTCTCACCCCTTGCTCTCTCTTCCAGCCGGATCACCCTGAGGGTTACAGGTAAGCCGGGAGCTAGGAGGCAGGGTTCAGACACCAGGTGAGAAAACACAAGGGAAGAAATTGTTTTCTTACTTCTTTGCATGATGCCACCCTCCAGGCCAGTTAATCGCTACCTTGCACTTGCCCTCCAGCAGGCACTGGGCTGCGGTGATGGTGGCTCCTCCCACGGCTGCTGCATACTCAAAGATCCCTTCGGTGGCTGGGCAGTCGTAACCTGTGGGGTGGAGTCCGTGTGTCAGACACAACAGGCCTCCTCCTCTGGGGGAAGCATATGCTCTTGGTTTCCAGCTCTCTGACCGTGGTTCGTTCTGTCCCAGGTGTGATGAAAAAGCCATGGCACAAAGTCCTCACAACAGGTTCAGATTTGGACTCACACAGCAGATTCAGTGGGCATAAGTAGAAAAAAAAGAAGAACTGGGTTTGTGTGGCAAGGTTTTCATAGTGGGGGGGCTGCAGGGGTGGCTCCTGTGAGAAGAAACCACAGGCTGCATTCATGTTGGATAGAGACAGCTCTGAGACAGACCTGCTGCTGGCCAAGGCTGAGCCCCTCAGCAATGTTGGTAGCACCTCTGACAAGATGCTGAAGAATGGGTAAAAAAATGCTGCACAGCAGCTAGGAGAAGAGAGTGAGAACATGTGAGAGAAACAACTCTGTGGCCACCAAGGTCAGTGCAGAGGGAGGGAGAGGAGGCGCTCCAGGCACCAGAGCAGAGATTCCCCTCAGCCCCTGGTGAAGACCATGGTGAAGCAGGCTGCCCCCATGCAGCTCGTGGAGGTCCACAGTGGAGCAGATCGCCAGCCTGCAGCCTGTGGAGAACCCCATACTGGAGCAGATGGATATGCCCGAAGGAGGCTGGGACCCTGAGGAGAAGCAGCTCCTGGCAGGACCTGTGACCACATGGGAGGGAGGAGCCTGTGCTGGAGCAGTTTGCTGGCAAGCACTGTGGGAACCCATGCTGGAGCAGCCTGCTCCTGAAGGACTGCACCTCAGGAAGAAACCTACACTGAAGCACTTACAGAGGACAGTCTCCCACGGGAGGGATCCCGTGCTGGAGCAGCGGAAAAATGTGAGAACAAAAGAGCAGCAGAGACAAAGTGTTATGAACTGACCTCGACCCCCATTCCTTGTACCCTGGCATCACTCAGGGGGAGGGAGCTAAAAGGGTCTGGAGTGAAGTTGAGTCTGAGAAGAAGGGCAGATGAGGGGGAAGGTGATTTTAGTTTTATTTTAAATTTTCACTATCCTTCTGTTATTAATTGGCAATAAAATGAATTAATTTCCGTATGTCAAGTCTGTTTTGCTCATGATAACAACCAGAGGGATGTCTCCTAGCCTTACCTCAACCCAAGATCTTTTCCACTGTATTTTCACTACCATGCTATTGAGGAGGCGGAGAGAGAATCTTAGTGGGCACCTGGCAGCCAGCCAAGGTTAACCCATCACAAAAATCAACAGTCAAATTTGGGACCCTGAGGAGAAGCAGCTCCTGGCAGGACCTGTGACCACATGGGAGGGAGGAGCCTGTGCTGGAGCAGTTTGCTGGCAAGCCCTGTGGCACTGTGGGAACCCATGCTGGAGCAGCCTGCTCCTGAAGGACTGCACCTCAGGAAGAAACCTACACTGAAGCACTTACAGAGGACAGTCTCCCACGGGAGGGATCCCGTGCTGGAGCAGCGGAAAAATGTGAGAACAAAAGAGCAGCAGAGACAAAGTGTTATGAACTGACCTCGACCCCCATTCCTTGTACCCTGGCATCACTCAGGGGGAGGGAGCTAAAAGGGTCTGGAGTGAAGTTGAGTCTGAGAAGAAGGGCAGATGAGGGGGAAGGTGATTTTAGTTTTATTTTAAATTTTCACTATCCTTCTGTTATTAATTGGCAATAAAATGAATTAATTTCCGTATGTCAAGTCTGTTTTGCTCATGATAACAACCAGAGGGATGTCTCCTAGCCTTACCTCAACCCAAGATCTTTTCCACTGTATTTTCACTACCATGCTATTGAGGAGGCGGAGAGAGAATCTTAGTGGGCACCTGGCAGCCAGCCAAGGTTAACCCATCACAAAAATCAACAGTCAAATTGTTTCCTTGCACTCAGATCATTCATGGACGGGTCTTGAACCAACTTCTGATCTGTGTGCCTGGCTAGCCCAACCCACTGGTCCCTTGTACCAATCTTGAAAAACACTCTCAGTTCTCTGGCTACCCTACCAATGAAGTCCAACACAGTCACTGATGTGTCTTCCACCTAAAACCAGACATCCACAAAGGAGACAGGCCTAGGAATGCAGCAAGTCTATAGCCAGAGTACCATCTTCACCTGTTCCTACAGCAGCCTCCCTGGAGCTGCTCCCCAGCAAGGTGTGATCCCTGGGCTGCTCCTCCACCTGCAGACAAATCAGCTTCAGTAACATAAAGGGCAAATCTAGGGGGGACTCATGAGACCAGTGTGGTCTGCACCCCTGACTTGCTGGTGGGTCACTCCTCCTGTTCCTGAGACTAAGACAGTCTCTGCAGCCACCTCACGTGCTCCAGCTCTTGCACTGCTCATGCAAGAGCTCCCTGCTCAGGACATGAGCAAAGTACCCTGTTGCTCTGGCCCCTGGCTTTAGCTTCAGGCCGTTGCTCATGCATGTCCTCCTTTACAGCAGATTGGCACAGCCAGTCCCAGCTCTGTTCTAAGGGTAGCATCTCAGGGTCTTCTGTCCTGACTGAGCTCTTGAGAACAGCAGCAAAAGGCAAAAGGCATCAGCTCCCAGCATGCAAAGGACAGGCTGAGCTGCAAGGAGCAGCAGCGTGAGGCTGCCAGGAGGCCAGCCCAGCAGGTCACCACCAGCTGATGGCTGCAGCACCATCCCACCAGGGCTACCCTCTGCAAACAGCCCAGCACCTTCCTTGAGCTCACCCCTCTGCCTAACATCAGCTCCAGCAAAACACATCCTGGACCTGCTATTCAGGTAATCTCTCGCTGGAGATAGGTGTCCTTACCCAGTCCATACTCCATGGACTCTGGATGGTCATCATCCCCCTCCTCACTGACTTTCTGCAGGTGTTGCAGGTAGGCGTCCGTGTGGAAGCTGGCCATCTCCTCCATGGAGGCTGTTTTTGGCTTGACTATCCTAGGCAGAGAGGATAAAGGGAGCACGTCAGGAGAAAAGACTCCAGGATTCGCTTGGAAGGCCCAGTTTTAACCTCCTCAGACCAGAAGTCTTCCTTTGGCAGTTACTGTTGCAAAAGCAAACAAAGCCCCCTCCTCCTCTATCAGCAGACTGTCACTTTGAGGGACAAAGCTGCTCAGCTGAGCTAGAGTGAGTGTTTCCCCCAGCTTGGCACTGACTGCTCTGCCCATTCCAATGAGGAACATCTGCAGGTGTTACCCACATTAACCTTTCCACTGTGCTTCAATTTTTTCACCTTTTCTGCATGTTCTCCCAGTTTGAGCAGTCTCCAGCAGATATAATATTCTGGTTACACAAAGAGGAAGTACCAGAGTGAAAATATTCAGGCACAGCCCAGTGCTGCAGCAGGACACCAGCCCAGCGGGTTGAAAGCTGAGCAGCACCTTGTACGTGCTCTAAACTCTGCCAGCATTCAGAGCAGAAACCATTTCTGCCCTCAGCAACTCTCGTTATCAGCTTGTCTGGGTTTGGGTGCATTGCAATATGCCTAAATAAATCTTGTGACACATTGAAGCCCTCTCCAAACCTCAGACTCTGGGGGGCACGGCAGCAGCGCTGTACAGCCGCCTTGCTCCTGGAAGAATGCCAGGAGCTCCCAGCTCCAGGCTAGCCCAGCTGCTGGGCACTCTCACCCCAGGCCAGGATGAACAGCCCTCTGGGTCTGCCTCTGTAAGGGCACCTGCAGCCAGCTGGCACCAAGCACACTCTACCAAAATGACCAGAAAGAAAAAAAACCTTAAAAAAAAAAAAAGTACCAATCGGACTTTCTGACCCTGCTGAAATAGAGCGTGGGACTTCTGTAAGATTTTACAGGAAACTACACAAGAGAGACTGAGCTAAACCTTTTCTTTCTCTTCGTATCTAGTGGGGCAGGTAGATTCTCACTCTTCCACCTCAGACCTCATCCTGTCTTCTCTCCTAAACAGCACTAAGACCTCACAAAAGTCTCCCAAACCAATCACAACACAGCAAAACAGCATGGTCCCCCTCAGCACCAGCACTGGCCACTGGATTTGGAGCAGCACCAACCAGGATGGAAAAAACACAAAGCAATTTGTATTCCATTTGACCAG